AGACCTGGACCTGGACCCGGAGTCCCATCAGTGCTAAGTCAGATGGCTGTCTCTTGCCTTCCCGGCAATTCTGCCCGTCGGAATCCAAGTTTTCCAGTTTGGAAACCTGCATTCTATAGTCTAGACTCATTTTAAACCAAAGGTATCCCGACTTTCCCTTTGGTCAGCCGGATATAGCTTTCTTCCCGATGTGTCATAGCCCTGGACCCGTAGTCCCATCAGTGCTATGGCAGATGGCTGCCCCTTGCCTTTCCGGCAATTCTGCCCGTCGGAATCCAAGTTTTCCAGTTTGGAAACCTGCATTCTATAGTCTAGACTGATGTTCGGCCAATGTTATCCAGTCCTTGCCATTGGTCTGCCGGATGTGGCTTTCGTCCCGATGAGACCTCGACCAGGGATCTCATCACTGGTAAGTTGTACGGTATGTCATATGGTAGTCAAATTGCTAAGTGCCAAGGTAGCTAAATTAGTACGTTCCAAGGTAGCTAAGTTGGTAAGAACCAAGTTAGCTAAGTCGATATGTAGTAGTGTTGCTAAGTTGCTATGTGGCAGGTACCTAAAGTGCTACGTGGCTGGTAGCTAAGTTGCTGAGTAGAAGGTAGCTGGTATGTACCTATAGTTATTAATGTTGGCCTAGTTGCCTTATGTTTTAGAAATGTAATGGAGCATGGGCACGCGGCCGCATGCTCCAACTCAGCTCGCGGGTTGGTCAGGTACCAGAACGTACCGAATCTAATTCCGCCATTACTGTCGGGCCGAGCACCGCGAATGAACGTTTCTCCCTACCCCCCTTCATTTTTGTGAAACAGTAACGCTTTATAGCTGTCCCCGTTCTTTGTCAGTTAGCTTCGCCCTACTACTTTCTACGGTAATTTAGGTACAATACATTGAAACAAATTTTTTTCTTTTTTTATGTCACTTTCAATAGACTTATTGTGATTCTTTGACTTTGGTCAATAGTACAGAGAATTTTCTGAAAATCAGTATACTAAACAATTATATATTATTTTTGATTTTTGTTTATGTATTATATATTGTATTACTATATATTACATCATGTTATATAACATATGATATATGAGTACATATTTTTGAATAATCTTATACTCAGCTGTTTTTAATTTATATTAATAAATTTATTATTCTGCCATATAATTGCGTATTATTGTATACTATTAAAGTAAATTCTCATATTTTTTTGTGAAAAGTCGATTTAAACCTTCAATTTTGCACAGATCAGACAAGTACCCCACTGTGCGACGCTTTTCCGATGCCAGTCGCTGCAGTGACCGGCACGTGACAACTCCCCTGTGGTGTTCCGAGTTCACCGGTCTTCCCTTGAACCTGAGGATCGCTGGCAGGTAGCGTGCGACTCCTCTGGTATCCAGCAACCCGATCGGTCTCCCTCGTTGCTGAGCTCAAGTGAGGCATCCCGGCGAACGCGTCAAGATCGTTTGTCATCTTGATCGATTTGCGTCGCGGTTTCAGCGGAGACGTGACTTGACGGGACAGCCGGAAGCGTGTCAGCATTATATATTCCGCGTGATTATATAACACGTTAGTTTTACGATCTCGATCTTGCGGTCTCCGGCGTGATACCGCGCGCACGGCCAGTTACCAGTTATTCGTCGATCGTGTTTGGGTGATCGTACGGCTTCGCGAGACGCGTCTCCCATGGGGTCTTGATCATGTTAGTCTCTGCCCAACCAGTAGTCGCTACGCCTGTGTGCCGGTGTTATGGATCGAGGTGGTTCTGTTGAAATCGTTCCGTACGTTTCTCTGTTCCTTGAAATTCTTCCGGCGCGGAGGATGATTCTTTGTAACGCAACGCGTTCGCCGCTGATGTTCCGAGGATCTAGAAGTCTGTTTCTACGGTCTTTCTGGTGTTCGGGAATAATTGAACTGTGAAGATCGTTGGAAATTTTAATGGATGACTTGTGAAAATTGAACGGAAATTAGCTTTGTTAAGTGTGGTTTTGTTAAATGTTCATTTCGGTGAATGTTGTCTGTCTCGATCGATTTTCTGAAAAAAGGGAAAAACGATTGGACGGTTTAGAAGAGTTGAATTATTTGCTCAATTCTCATATTTTATTTTCACTGAATCGGTTGATCGCTCTAGATTGAACATAGCGGCCGACGAGTTATTTCATTTGCGAATCGTTCCGTCTTTAATTTACGTTTGGAAACCATTCCGCAGGATTTAGAAATCACGTCGAAACTCTCATTGGATGCTTCGAATAAGGCGGTTTACGTTGAACAAGTTCGTTCTGCTGTTAACGTTCGCCCTTGCCGACCTAAACAACAGAAAAACTCCTGCGTAGCTTCCTCAAGCGCAGTACGTTGCGAGCGAGCATCGTGTACCGATATTATCATGACCAACTTTCGGTGAGTCTCGTATTTTTTTCTTTCACCCTTTAATTAACAAAGTGGAGATTCTTTTCTTCGATAGGTAGAGCAGTGTCTGGTAGACCCTAATATTTTTCTTGCGACTTGAAAAGAAAGAAACAAGTACTCTGTTCGAGTTTCACGTGGTCTCTGTGATTGCCCCTCGTCAATCAGCAGCGTTTATATCGTTGTTTCCGCAACGACGCGCGAAGAAACAATTTTTATTTCGCGTTACGTGTCCGTTCTTTACAAGTGTTTCTTTGCGCTCCGGCGGATAACACCGGGTCACGTCTTCCCGATAGCGACATTATTGCCGCTACTTTTCTTGTTGTTTGTTTATTGGCTCGTCCAGGCCTCGCCGATAGAATTTTCTTCTGTGAATGAACTGGTTTTCTAATTTCTGTTACTTCTCTTTGATCTGTGACGTGCGCTGAGAGCGAAGTTTGTATCAAATAACCTAGGGGAGAATGTTTGGAAGTACTACGGAAGACAATTAGAGTAACTGTAACGGAGTTTGAAACTGCCGCTATTCAAAAGAAAGTGCGACTATAATGTCTGCGCCAAAGCTTGGAATTAATTAGCTCGAACGAGGTAAGGACTTAGATTTGTGGAATTTTGGGGTTGCGTCCTTGTAATTGTTGACTATCAGTAGTTTTTCAGTTTCATTGGAAAGTTGATCTTTATTGTTTTGTTATTATAAGTCATACTATTCTATAGTAAATAATACATGATTGACCGTCTTACTATCTTATTCAATGTTTATATCTTACTACGTGCAATTTGTCAATCAAATTGTATCGCATATACCAATCAGTACTATACTTATAAATTTTCACAGTTCTCGAGATATTTTTACACTTGTCGATGAGCCGCATAAGAATGATAAAGTAATTCACGGCAAGAACAATAAAATCATCGCCTGAGTGAACTAGGTTCTCCGATGCAAAGTAGGTTTAGCAGAAAATCGAACAGTTCACCGAGTGCACGTGTACCCGTTTGTCTTGATCAACGTATCTTCCTTTAACTTATTACTCCCAGCTTTGTTTAATCGGAGGAATGTTTAGATCGATGATTTTGAATGGACGAAATATAATTACCGAAATTTCTCGGCTTTCTTCTTTTCCCCAATCGGTCCAGTTCAAGTGTTTAAACATTAATAATGCGATACAAAATGTGACAAAAGTTGCCCAACGTGCAGTTTATAATTGTCAATAGAAGATACGTTGATCAGAAAGCATACGACAAAAAAATTCTTTTTACTCGCCACTGTGCGTGGCGTTTCGCAGCGGGGACACTTCATCATGGGAGTTTCTGCGGTCCAAGTGATACGACGAGGTCATGCCTTCTCGATAGCGGATTATCACCGCTGCATTTCTTATTGTTCATTTATTACCGATTTATTGCGGAGGAGAATTTTATTCGCGTGAACCCGCCAACGAACTGTCCGGGAAGAACAAAGTCGAAAATGTTAGTAGGTTCGTGTCACAGGTCAGCCAGCCTCTCTCTCCCCCACTTTCACGGAAGTAGCACTTCCATCATTTCTATATTTATTTATAAAAATAAACGTCTCCTTATCTCTTCGACGGCAACACTGTATCGAAATTAACTAAAAAGAAGTGTCTCCTGTTACTCCTGATTAGGTTTAACCTTTTTCATGGTGTTGACGACGAGATAACGCGTTAATGGAACTTCATCTCCGTCCTTCGTTCTTTCTTTCTATTGAGTAAAATATTCTCGCATTTAAATCGTTTCTGAATACGATCTATCATTTTTGACATATCGTGATTTTCGAGAAACTTGTATGGCACTTGGGTCAGTTGTTAATCAAATGAATCAAACTAGAAGGACCAGACGTTGATGACTAATGGAGGCGTCGGCGCCGCGATTCCTGCCGTTGGAAGCAAAAACTGCTCGATAGTGCAACATTTCAAAGTGTAAAAATAGAGCAGTTATCTGTGCATCGCGGTGTTCGAGCCACAGCGAATGAATTGGCGGCCAGGATTTATGGGTCTTCGATGGATCGACT